CACTTCATGGAATTCATCACGAGTAATACTGAGATGATAATATCTTATAATCTTGAAATGAAGATATATGAGTTGTAATTTACAAGTCGGTCATGTATTGGTGATACGAAAACGCATCAGTAACTTGGTGTTATAAAACGTATTGTCATGTATAATTTGATGAGTAAAAGATACAAGCATATGAGTCAACGTTTATTCGTTCCTTTTGCCCTAACCGGAAAAGCGATATTTGTGGCCCCTCGATGATTTGGTGTTGACTTATGTGCTGGGCCCAGCCAGGACTAAATTGATGTGTTCAATTAGAAGTCCTACATCATCACAATCAGGAATCGGGAAACATAGATTCTGGACAAAGATTGATTACATTCCATGTCTTTTGTCTAGGGATATCTAGCAAACGAAGGATTATATGATCACTTATCTTAGGACACGTAACTGACTGGTCAGAGTTCGGCAGCAGCTTTTGGAAGCTACAATTTGCTGGTCAAATTTAGAAGGCATACTAGCAATTATAGTTACAGACTTATCCAAGTGGGAGACTGTTGGATTAGGTGTCTAAGCCCATAACTATAATGGTATGTACTTGAATTGATAGCAGCACAGTCCTTTTGGTTGCCCTCAACCTAGCAATTGGACAAGGAAATTATGAAAGGAGATATATTAATTTATAAGATTAATAAATAATATATAAATGATTTATTAATATGTTAAAAGATTAATATATTAATTAAAATCATTATGTTTAATTATAGTTAGCCAGAAATTAATCAAATTAATTTTGGGGTTAAAAGAATTAATTATAAAGTGCAGGCTAGTTTGCAATTAAGTAATAGTTGAGTGGAAGGATCCAGAACCCTGGAAGGAGGTGGACGAAATCCATAGGGAAACCCTAGAGATTTCGTCCAAGGGGTCCAGATAAGGCCCTTGGACGAAATCCATAGGGGAAACCCTAGAGATTTCGTCCAAGGGGTCCAGATAAGGCCCTTGGGTTTTGCTTAGGCCCTAAGCAAAGGATAACTAGGGTTTTCCCTAAACCCTAGATCCCTCAGCTATTTAAGGAGCCTCCTGGCTCACATTTTAGGTGACTTGTTCTTTGGAAGAAACCCTGGCCGAAATTGCATACTCCCTCCCCTCTCTCTTCTTCTACTTTCCTTCTTGCTAGTTCTTGGGTGTGATTCCATTAGAGGCATTACACTTGTGGTGCTAAGCTTCCAAGAAGATCAAGATCAAGATCAAGGGAATTATCAATTGTTTGCTATAACAATTGAAAGGTATGTAACCCTAAACCCTAGGTTTGTTAATTTCGAAATTAGCCTCCTCCTCTAGGGTTCTTGTTTTGCAATTCAAAGTTGTATGTTCAATAGTTAAAACATAGATCCAAAGTAGGTTGCATGTGAACTTAGGAATTGTTTTTCTAGTTTATTTGTTTTACATAAAACCCATCATTATCATGGGCTCCTTAAGCATAAAGGTGCCAACTTTATGAAGTGTAGGGCCTCATGCATTCATTAAGTCCCTTATTAAGTCCTTTTTGAGCTTAAGAGTTTCATTTAGCCAAATTAGGACGTAAAGTTAGCAACTTTACGTGGTAATCCAGCTTAAGGAAGTGAGATCTATATTCTGGAGTGAAGTCTTAATGGGTTAAGAGCTGAAATAAGAAGGTGGCTAAACTGGAAGAGTACGTTGGGCGTACAAGCCCTTGAGCCAGTACGCTTAGCGTACAAGCTGAGTACTCCCTCGTACACAATCAGGTGGCTGTTTCGATTTTGGGCTTTAAGTTTGGGGCCATGTTTTAGGTTTAGAAGGTTGGGGTTTAGTTGGGCCACCTAAATTTGGGAGTGTTGGGCCAGGACCATTATTGGGCCTTGGGTTTTAAGGCCCATAAGAAGGGATTGGGCCCAATTAGAAAATTAGGCCATAATTGGGCCTTGGTGGATTATTTCACTTTTGGGCCTTTTAGATTGTGATATTGGGCCTTAGTCTTGGATCAATCTAGGTTAGGGGTAAAATGGTCTTTTTACCCCAAGTAGGGATTTATGGTTATGGATTGGAACCCAAATGTTAATTGAATTTTATTTGATGTTGATAACTCGGGGATTTGTCGGACCAGCAGCCAGGGATTATCCGTTTGATTTAGCAGTACGAGGTGAGTTTCCTCACTGGGTTTAGCGGGTCAAAGGCACCAATGCCGACCCATGATTATGCTATGTCAGTATGCTAACTGTCTGTATGACTCTTGCATGTGTTTTGTGCTTATATGCTTACCGCCAGGGCCCGGTGACCATTTTGTATGTTATGTATCTTTGTGATTATTGCATGTGTATTATATATATAATATTATATATATATATATATATATATAATATATATATATATATATATATATTATATATATATCTTACTACATATGAAAACCCTTTTTTTATAAGAGCGCGTAGGGCGCGTGTGATGATGTTTTAAGAGGGCGACATGTTCCACCACATCAATACATTACCTCTCTTTCCAACAGACGTCTCCATTTATCAACTGGTTTATGTTAGAGCACCTTTTTATATATAAACTGGACCGTCACACCTGGTCGGAGACGTTGCTTCCAGACGTTTTGCCTCCTCTTTAACCGCTTCATTCTATCCTCTTTATTGTCCATCAAGAGGTTAAAATTCAATAATACATGAAACTCCCATAGACGCTCTGGTGTTCTCCTCAAAGATATGCGTTTTGTAAATTTTGGGATCTAATTTTGATATATCGGCTTCCGAAAGTCAACTAAACCTACAGAATTTGCCATTGATTTGACAATTTCAATATATTTTCATATTACGGTTTTAATTGTTGTACCGTAAGCATTTCTCATCTATTGTCTTGTGATTTTGATTTTCCATCTATTTTGATTTCTTTTTCTTCGATTTGTATTTTCTCAATGTATCCATTTGTAATTTCTCAGTTTTTGAAAAATAGACAATGCATAGTAAAGAATTTATCATCATTTCATACAATTTGTCTTCCTATGTATGCATCACGACAACTAATTTGTTTGTAGAGTTTGAATTTTTTGAAATTCTGTTATTTTTTGTTTTTATGAAATTTTTGGTTGATAAATTTATCTTTGATTTGTTTAGTTTTGTGTTGTAGATAGATTGTCGAAGTGCTCAAAATCAGAAAATCACTCATTTGTAGATATACAAAGTACAAACTGAAGTCGTCAGTGAGCAATTGCTTTATTAAATCTTTAATTTTATTTTGTTTTAATTTTTCTCTTATGTGGATGGTCTTTGTCATGCTAAAAATGTAGGTTTGATTACTTGATAGCTTGTTAAAGAATTAATTTAAAGATATCCTGCTTCGGTGTCTTCTTGTGCCATTAAAGATAGATGACTCACAATTTGTAAGGCAATAAGCATAATAAGAATTAAGATGTTGATGCCTTTTCATTTTTCTTCATTCCTTTGTGTACATAATAACACAGGCAGCCTTCTAAATTCCCCATTTTGGTTTTGCATCTTTTACATATTCAGTCTACATTCTAGCAAGAAGAGGAAAATAGTATTAATTTCATAACTTCATGTTAGTGGCCGGTAGTTTGCAGTAGGTAAATTGCTTCCCCTTTAAGTATCTTGTATTTGAGTCGTGTTGGTTATTTCCATATTAAATTTTCTAGATAAAGTGATGTTCGGATTTTATAAATATTCCAGAATATATTAGCCATTGGCCTGCTTGGGGAAATTGAAGAAATAATAAATGAGGACAAAATTATAGAAAATTAGGACTTTTATGTATAGCCTAACTCCTATGATTTTCTTTATTAACTTGTTTTTGTATTAACTCAAAAAGAAAAGGCCATATCAAAATACCTGATTAAGTCATAACTTTATTAATTCCAGACAAGAAAACAATCATTTAGTTCATTTAAATGTTTTTCTAAGTTCGATAAAGAAACCATCTTCAATTAAGGAAAGAAATAGGCCTTGAGTCTACTATGTCTTAACTATAATGATTTAATTTAGTTACAATACTTGTTTGTGGCAAAAGTGGTGGGATGCACCAGAGAAGTTTGGCCGTGACAGTGATGTATGTTGATATATATAGGCACTCTTTAGTAAAGTTGTAGGTTGCCATGATGGTTTCATTACCTACAAGTTCGTATCATTCCTGTAATGATTGTTAGTTTATAAACGATTTGGCTTGTATTTGTTAATTTCCTACAGGCTTTTGATGTTGATATTTTTATTGTTTTTGTTTAGGTGTAAGATTTAGTTTGTGCAATGAAGTACATATAACTTTCGAGTTTACAAGAACATCTAGATTGCATTTCAAAAACATGTAGGTATTAGATGAGATACCACTGATTGCGATAAGCGAGTTGGCATGTTCGAAGATTGACTGTAGCAGAGGTATGTGAAGTTGAATACAAAAAATAGCAATGTACTTCATTGTATATTCATTTCCAGTTCTTACAGAGGCAATCATCAGTTTTGCTGTCATACTCAAAGATGGGAAGACTGTCAACCATATGTGACAAGTGATGAATTGATTAATGTCTTGATATTGCTCTATAAACATACTCTATTCTGAAAAATAATTTAAATAGTTGACTTATTGAATAGATCATTATTTTGGATATGTTCTGTTTGATTATCTAATTGTAATGCATGTGATGCTTTGAGGAGTTGCCTTTCACATACACTACCTGCATGTAACATATGTTGCTTTGTATCAATTTCGAAGTGTTAAATACAAGAAATAGGAACGAATTTCATTTAATTGTCATTTGTAACATCTTACTTTCATTTTCCGCTAGACAATATTGTATTTGTAATTTTTGTCTTATTGATATATTGTATTTTGAAAAATCTACTCACCTATAACATTGTATTTTCATCCATTTTTAAAGGGACCTTATAAAATACGCACATTACCTTTCATGGACCGTGCTTAGCACGGGCCATAAAAGTTTACTAGTATATATATATAAAAGCCCTTTTATTCTGGTGGCTTGTACAACAAAATCACGGGATTGTATTTCCTCCGCGTAACCCAATACTAAACGACGCATTCTAGAAAAAAAAAACCGACTCAAAAATTCCTAATCGTCACATCCTTTGTCTGGCTAAAGGAAATACAGATGAATACATCCTCCAAATCTCCATTTGTTGCGTATTTGCCTCCTCCACAAGAAGAAGTAGAAGTCGATTACATTCCCCACCGATACAGAACCCATAATTAAGCGATCAACAACTTACTTCACGGCGAACTAATGTCAAATCGGAAAAAAAAAAAAAAAAAAAAACCAGTATTCAAACCGATGTCACGTCGTCCTTTCATCCCGAGAGGTACATCATCACGAACCCTAATTTCATACGACTGTAAATAATTTAGAATCGTTCTTGCTTCTCTTTTACATTATAACACGACATGCTCTCCTCTGACTTGTGAAATTGGTTGAAACGGTTCTGAAAAATTATTGGTTATATGTGCAATTGATCGCATTGCATGAAATTTGTCACGCTTCATCTTCCTGATTCAATACAGGTCCAAAACCACTGTGATTGATTAGTTCCTTCATGTATTTTACCCTTTAGATAATCACTTTTCTTCTCTCGTTTCTTTTGTGATCTGTATGGTTATTACCTTTTCACAAGCATAATTCCCAATATTCAAGAAGGTTGGTTGTGTACAGAGGTCTCGATCCCAAACAAAAATTGACCATAATTATCCCAAATTACATATATTTAACTAACGGTGTAATTGCAAAACATCAAATTTCCATCAATTAAAAAAAATTGAAATAGCCTTGAAATTGAAATATTGTTTTCCAGGTTCCTATCTTTCTAAAATTGACCATAATTGGTCAACTATTTCCTTTACTTTAAAAAAAACAGAAAACATCCATATATTAAATTTTTTTAATATCTTGTAATTTCTGTGTGTTATATCAATACAACATGGTGTTACAAGTTTAAGTTCAAATGAATTTGCATTTTTTTTAATTAGGAATCGACAATTCCATGATTATATTCAAAATTGCAAATTAACCATCATGATGTAATTACACCTGAGTACTCCTCTTTGTTACATTAACCAAAAATTGCAAATTGTTGATCGCATTAAGTACTTGTGATGAATAAATCATTCATATCTGCACTTATCTTAACTGCATTAGTGTTCCATATGAAAAATTATTTCACATTACAGCTACAACAGTAATCAATGGAACAACCCGTTATTTAGTTACAATTGCAGCATTTAGTTAGAATCAGGTATATGAATGAACCAGATCAAGGAATTGGTATAGTATTATCACCCAATTTCAACATCATGATCGGATGTCATCAACCATCAAACATTGACACAAAAAAAAACAATTGTTGATGGTTGTTCTAATGTAGATAAGAAACTATACAGATGAACAGCTATTATACACTGGAAAAAAAATGGTAATTGTGTTGTTATAATTGACAAATTAGATATGGTTAATGAACTTAAACTTTAACACCAGGTTGTATTGACATAACACACCAAAATTACAGGTACTAAAAAAATTTATATGTGGATGTTATCTGTTTTTTTTTTAATTAAAAGGAAATAGTTGACCAATTATGGTCAAATTTAAAAACCTAGGAACATGGAAACAAAAGTACAATATCAAGGCTATGTCAATTTTTTTTTTTTTTAATTTGATGGAAATTTGATGTTTTGCAGTTATACCATTACTCAAATACATGTAATTTGGGATAATTATGGTCAATTTCCTGCTACAACAGTAATCAATGGAACATGCCATTATTTAGTTAATATTGTGAAATTTACTTACTATCAGATTTTTGTCAATTGAGCCTTATAAACTAACTATTTCAATGAACCAGATCATCAACCAACCGATCAAGAAATCGATATAGTATTATCACCAAATTTCAAGAAAAGGACTGGATGTCATCAACCATCAAATATTGACACAGAAGAAAGAACTGTTGCTGGCTGTTCTAATGTAGATAAGAAACTATACAGAAGAATAGCTATTATAAACTGGAAAAAAAAGAATGGTAATTGCGCTGCTATAATTGACAAATTAGATATGGGTAATGATGCTCCTGTTTATAAGAAAAGATATAGAAAAGAAGCTATCATAAAATGGAAAATGAAGAAATTAAAGACTACTTGCCATACAAACGTAACAATAAACAGAAATGGAAAACTAAATAATACCGTATGTACAGGTTTATACCATATAAATGAAAAAATAACTAATGAAAGTGAAAGACTCAACAAAAGAAAACTTATAAATCTAAGTCCACCAATTGATAAATCAAATAATGTAGACAAGAAAAATAGCAATAGAAAAGGAAAGATTCTATTGCAACAAATAATTTTATCTGCTGATGTACTTCCAGAAGTGTTGCGTTGTTCTTATTGTCATGCAGTGAAATTTTATTCAGAAACATCAAATTTCTGTTGTCAGGAAGGTCGTATTGTATTATCCAGTAATGAACTCCCATATGTCATGCGAAATTTATTGACATCTAATTCTGAAGAAGCAAAATTGTTTAGAACATATATCAGAACATATAATAATACATTTGCATTCACATCATATGGTGTTAGAGCTGATAAAAACCTTACAAGACGAAATATGGGTATTTACACTTTTAGAGTGCAAGGATAGGTATATCATTTCATGACTGATCTACAACCTAAAGAGAAAGAAGCCAAAAACCTTCAATTATATTTTCACGATACGAATAATGAAATAGAAAATCGTTTAACATCTTCCCCAAGATTATCTAAACAATTAATTGCAACATGTATAAGTTATCTAGAGAATAATCCATATGCACTTTTTTTTAGAAGTTTAAGAGAAATTCCTTGTTTAAATGAATATAAGATAATTCTTAAGACTATTCCAGGGCAAGATCAACGTGTTTATAACAAACCAGAGGTTTCACAAGTTGCGGCACTCTGGGTTGAGGGAGAAGAGAACGGTGAACATGGTCGTAGAAATATACAGTACGAACACACAGTGACGAACCAAAGAGTGTTGAGTATTATTATGGTTGTTATGATCCTTTACAATACCCTCTGATGTTTCCATTTGGAGAACTTGGCTGGCATCAACACATTCCAAAAAAAAATCCCACTGAAAGAGGAAATAGTAAAACAATTAGATGTTCTGCCGACAGGCTTATCTCGCCATCGAGTATTGCAAATGTTGATGACTTATTAAATAATGAAGAAATAGGTAAGGAAATACCCTTCATGTTTTTGTAAAACTATAAATTGAAAGTAATATATTTTTTTTTCAGTTATGGGAAAATCTTTGGAGAATACAAAATGTGTCTCTGTAAAAGAATATTATGCATATAAACTTCAAATACGTTTGCATGATAAATCATGTTTGTTGCTTTTTGGTAGACTATTACAACAATATATAGTTGATAGTTACGTAAAATTAGAAACACAAAGGTTAGCTTTTTATAGAAATCAACAACAAGAGTTAAGACAAGAGTTCCTTCAAGGAGTGGGTAGATGCTATGGCAAGTGGTGAAACAAGCGCGTCGGCTATTGGTCGACGAGTGGTTTTACCCGCAAATTTTATTTGCGGTCCAAGGAACATGAGAAGAAAATACATTGATGCTATGGCATTAGTGCAAAAGTTTGGTAAGCCTGACATTTTTCTAACATTAACCTGTAACCCTAATTGGCCAGAAATCAAACAATACATGATGGGTAATGAGGAAACACAAAACAGAGCAGATTTAATTGATAGAGTCTTCCATGCAAAACTTGAGCAATTTAAAAATGAAATTTTTAAAAATGAAATTTTTGGGAAGGTTGTTGCACATACTTATGTTGTGGAATTTCAAAAAAGAGGTCTACCACATGCTCATTTCTTACTTATACTTGCACCACAACATAAGATGTACCATGCAGAAGAATATGATGAGATTACCATGCAGAAGAATATGATGAGATAGTTTCTGCCAAAATCCCAGATGAAAATTCAAATCCTCATCTATTTAGAATGGTGGTAAAACATATGCTTCATGGTCCATGTGGTGATCTAAATCCGAAAAATGTTTGTATGAAAAAAAAGGGTATTGTAAGAATTTTTTTCCCAAAGCATTTTGTGGGGTAACAACACAAGATAATGATGCATACCCTGCATATAGAAGACGTGACAATGGAGTTAAAGTTAAAGCTAGAGGTGCTATGCTAGATAATAGATGGGTAGTTCCATACAATCCATATTTACTATGTAAGTTTGATTGTCATATTAATATAGAAATATGCTCTACAATAAAGGCTGTGAAATACATATATAAGTATATATGCAAAGGATGCGACAAAATAAGCTTTTCCGTTTCACAAGATGATCATCCAACCATCATAAACGAAATTGATCAATTTCAAGCAGGTAGGTGGATATCACCCCAGAGGCCGCTTGAAGAATTTTCAGATTTTCATTAGGTGAAATCAAACCAGCAGTTATTCATCTGCCTTTATATTTAGAAAATTATCAACCAATAACATTCAAAAAAAAAAGAGCGACTGGAAAATATTGTAGACAATTTAGGTAAAAGAAAAACTATGTTGCGGAATTTTTTTTTTCAGAATAGTACAGATAGATATGCACAACATCTCAATCTAACATATGTAGAAATGAGGCAGCAATACCTGATGTTGTAAAATAAGTATTTTTAAATCTTATGTTGGCATGTGAGCTAATGTGGCAGGGGTGTGCACTGAGGAAGGTCGATTGCATTTGTTGTCATTCTCTATTAGTATCACTTTTTTAACTTAATTTGCTCTCTGGTCACTTTTTTCAGAATTTTACCTGAGTGTAAGAACCATTTCATTTATTTTTTTCGTTGATTTAGATAACAGAAGAACATCAACATTTTACCCCAAACTCTATACAACAGTTAGAAGTTTAACTAGGGATGAGCAAAAGGACCGAACCGGTCGGAACCGGCCCGAACCGGACCCGACCCGGGAACCGGCTTCGGCCAAAATTAAGAACCGAACCGGCCCGGCGGTTCTACCGGTTCTTGTCATGTCTTCAAATGTTGGAACCGGTCCTCGAAAAAATAGCATCATACGGTTCCGGTTTTTACCGGTTCTACCGGTTTTTGCCGGTTCTACCGGTTCCGGTTATATCGGTTCCCGTTCCTACCGGTTCCCGGTTCCAAAAATCAACAAAAATAACGTCCCGGTCCCGGCCCGACCGGTTCCATCGGGTTCCGGTTCCGGTGCCGGTTCCGGTACCGGTTCCGGCCGGTTCCCCGGTCCATATGCTCATCCCTAAGTTTAACCAATTCGAAAAGATTTAACATTTCATCATAAATTGTCACTTCTGATTATGATGCGAAGGTAACCATCTTGATTTTAGTTATATTTCAAATTACTGATATATTTGTAATTATAAATTTTGTTTCGATGAAAAATGCTATTGTCAACTCTCGATTTAATACCAAACCACATGGAATGTAATATTAATTTGTGCTTCCGTGTCTCATTTGTTTGGATGGCAAAAGCGAAGTAACAAGATATTCACATGGAATCAAAATACACAGGTTTATTCAATATCTCATTGTTCATTATTAATATCTTTTACTATTAAAGCTTTGCAGAAGTTTTACCTTTACCCACACTAAGAAATAGAGATGAGCAAAGGTTAGTCCAACCTGATCCAACCCAGCCCGAGAACCGAAGTCAGCCGAAGTTAAGAACCGAACCAGACCGCCGGTTCCGGTTCTACCAATTCCCAGTTCCTACCGGTCCTCGATAAATAGCAACAAATGGTTCACTTTTTGCCGGTTCTACCGGGTCCAGTTCTACCGGTTCCGGTTCCCGGTTCAAAAAAACCACAAGAATAACATCCCGGTCCCGTCCAAACTGGTTCAATCAGGTTCCGGTTCCGGTACCGGTTCCGGGCGGTTCCCAGGTACATATGCTCATCCCTACTAAGAAACATATGAATTACATACATCGCATCACTCCTGTCATTTATCTAACATTATATATCAACATACTTATCTTCACTCTTTCTATTCCAAAAATTACTATGAGTAACATGTGCATAATTGTATTTGTGCTAGGAGAGAACGCTGGTTTTAATTTTTAACAGAAATCAAATTGTATATATTTAATTCATAAATATTGAATACTTTTTATATGATTATAAGCAGGAGGCCCACACAGTACTAAGGTTCCCGGTAAAGAAATATTGTAGAGCACTTCATGCACAAATAAATTGGGGTCAAACAGAGGTATGAATGAAAGTGGCTTCAATAACAAGTTCTATTTACAGAGGAAAAGTTTTTTAATAATTAAAAAATATGTCAATTCTAATGTATTCATAATATTTTGTAGGAACATGAATCAGAAGATGATCAAGGAAGGAAAATTGTTCCTTGAAGTAACAATCACACTTCATGTGAAATAATAGCCACGGTTAATGAAAAGAACAGGTCATGTGAATGGATCACATGGATCAATTACTGACATTCAACAACATTTCCTGTTTGTTTTCAATGTATACTTTACAACCATCAATTGTATTTTATATAACTTTTTTTGTTTTTACATTTATTGTTTATCATTTGGGATCAGATCATATAGCCATCGATTAACAAATTGCCCAATTAAATAACAAAATTTTAATATAAACACTAATAGAAATCGTATTCAACAACCTTGAATAGCCTCAATTAAATCAATGATTTGCACCCTGTTTTTCATTGGATCGAACCAAAATATTAAATAATCATTCAAATATAGATTTAACTAAATACTGCATTTTATAAATACATTCATAATAAACGCAACTATTTGTAGCCACATTTAATTATAACAGATGACTTTTACTTATGTAATTAAAGAAAAATGACATGGCTAAGTAATTGAAAACTAAATCACACGGATATGATTTGTATATATCCAATCAACTTACAATATTAACTCAAAATACAATATAATAATACATCAAGCCCAGCCCAATTAAATCCTCAACATAAATAATCACTACTCTTCACTACGTTGCCTTCCGCATAAACCGCAATAACGACGGTTCTTTGAACTTCATTGCAACTGCGCTGCAGAATATTAACCGATTATAACGGTTTTCACCATATATTGCATACCAGACATTAACTGGCACATATACTTTAGAATCCGTAGTATTCAAATTCCGATTAACAATCAACGCTTCATAAACAGGTATGTTGGCATTCGTTTCAATGACTAGGTACTAATTTTCATATATTCAGATGGATGAAACTTTATGTGATAATAAGCAACACCAATTCAATTTGTTCTTTCTTTTTACAAGAACAATCATTGTTCCATTACAAACAAACATCATATCTATAGGTTTAGGACATCATATGTATACTTCTCCTTAAAATTCGTGCAAATATCGTTATGCTTACATATACAAATGATGCAAGAAATAAACAAATATTTATATATAAATGACATTTTTATTTTATATATCACTATCAATAAATACCAGGTCAAAATTAACTACAGATGAATTGCTAAACCAAGGAAATAAACAAATAAGTTATTCAATAGAACCCTGTACTGAATTAAAACTTTTCACATAACAGATAACCAAAGAAAAAATGACGAGAGACTACTACAACATACTACTACAACATACTGGACATTACTTCAACCATGAAGAAAAGTTGGACCGTCAAAATTCAAGTTATAGAATGTGGTCATAAACAACTTAGTAACGCAAAAAGAGAATTTAGGAGACTCATGTTTGTAGACACACAGGTATACCAACATTTAAAAGTGTTAAATTTCAATTTCTATGTTGATTCTAACCATGTTTGTTACATCAGGGGACAAGAGTGTCGGCCTTAATCTATAGTAGTGACCTTGATTTTTTTGAAAATACATTCAAACCATACAATCGCTATCAAATTTCAAATGCAAATTTGAGACTCACAGAACCACGTTTTCAACTCGATAGCTATGAATTTTCTTGGACACTAAGCAAACAAACACTGATTGAACCCATCGAAGAACAAACCCCACCGCCACTCCCATGCCAATTTAACTTTACCCCATTTAGTGACCTATACAAGTATGCGGATGAAGAAAATTATATAAGTAAGACATACAACTTTACCCATTCTTTTATATCCACTTTCAACCAGATTCTCACATATACATCTATACCTTTTAAAATGCAGATGCAAGAGGTGTTGTAATTAAATGCTTTCCAATTCATCAGGTGAAAAAAGGATCAGAAAACTTCATCAAAAAGGGATGTAATCATTGTAAATGAGGAGTATGTAAAGATTAACTTCTTATAATTAACAATAGGAAGCCCATTTTATTAATTTACTTATTATTATTATTCTAAAATCAACACATTTTTATCAGGAAAAAACTTTTACTTCTAACATTATGGAATCCCATCGATGAAATTGAAGGAAATGCCTTGGACAAAATAACCAATACTGGGCCTTTGGTATTTGCAATGAGGGTAAAGGTGACAACATTCTATGGTAAAGTCGAATCCCTTTCAATCATAATGCAAATATATATGGCAAAAAATATACTAATGATTACTACATGCATATCAGGACAATCACTCACTACAAGCCCCGGATCTTCAATTCTTATAAATCCACCGGTGAAAGATGATCTAAAACTACAAGACTGGTATATTCAAGATAATAATTACCCAAAATTATATTTTATTAATTTTTTTTAATGCACAGGTACACACACAACAAAGCAGAAATTAAAGCACTCCTTCAGAATGAAACATACAAGGATACTGAGATTCTTTTGCCACCTCCCGAAGACAAAGACATACTTCCAATAGGCAGGGCAATTCTAAGGATGAAAAATGTATGAAATTACAACTTATGATCATCAACTATTCTGTGTATTCTATAACATCATAAACTTACTGATTATTCGACACCTGGGTAAACCAAGTTGGATAAAAGGCAATCTTAATCTACCTCATCAAGATAGAAGTTTCACACAAACAATATGCAAAAAGTGTTTAAAACCAATTCATGCAGATGTAAACTGGAACATCACATGCCCTCTTTGTAAAAAGGAATCAGAAGTACAAATCATGTATGTATATTTCTATTACATAAACTTTTAAACCAATATTGTTTCAACATGTGATTCTATAAACAGAACAAGAGCAATAATTGAAATTAATGATGGAACTGGAACAATTGCTGCAAGCATATCAACTCCAGAAATTGAAAAGTTAATTCCATTAAACCCCAATGAAGTCAAGGATGTAGCAGAAAGTATAGGTTTCCTAATTTCAAAACTATCATATTTTTAATATTATTCAACTATTTTCATTCCATTTAATAAATTCAATAAAGCAGGAAAAAAATGTACATGATGTAATCGCATCAACACTTCAAGGATTATCGGTTGTCACATTTATACGATCATATCAATCATGGAACCAACAACAACAAATAACAAGATTTGTCATTGTTAAGGTGCATAAAGTTCAAGAACATTACACCAAAGACCAACAACTACTCAATCCAACAACTAAATCTGAAACTCTGTCAACAACAAAACCAGCCTCACCTAAAAAGCGTAACCAACTAGATGTAGGTAAAACAAAAGTGACAGAATCATTGTCAATTGGCACATCAAGACCTAATAAAAAAATGAAATAGGTATGGAGAAACAACCAAATATACATTAATCAGTTTCATTGTTTATTTACGTACACTAAGTACTTTCATTTTGCTTGTCACAGAACTGTTTCCACACAATCTACACACCAACTGTTGACATTATAACTTACAAAGTTACAGATAACATTATGTTATTTCAGCATGGTATTGGTATGTTTTATGTTATTATATCCAACATTATTACATCATTAGAAAATTAATTCATGTATGCCTCACAAACACTTCATTTATTCTATAATATTTATGTTAGTCATCTTGCTGTTGATTTCAACATTGTAATTGCAAAATATTACATTTCTTTATACTACAACACACATAAATGATGTTGAAAAAATATACAACAAAAATTCAAAATAAATAAATGGCTAAAAATAATACTATGTTGATTAACCATAAAATGATGAATAAAATACATCAAATATTCATATTAACAATTATTACAAATAAACTTTTTATTATTGGGATTATACTTTTAAATCCATCCGTTCCAATCATTCTCACTAAATTTGTTATAAATATGTTTTTTCAATCTCTAATAGTGCATTATTAATATCTTTATGGCATCACTTTTGTCATTAATCTAACATTTATAGCATCATACTTATCTTCACTCTATCTAATCCAAAAATATAACAATCAATAATCACACTTTTTCTCAACTGATTTCATTATCTTTTTGAAACAAAAGGAATTTCAACTATAAAACAACAAGTTGAAATCTTGAATAAAACAGGGCCTAAGCCTGATTGGTCAAGAACAATCAGGAATCAATACATATACATTTTTTAATATTTGCTTCATCTTAACCATCATTTTTGCAATCTCATTTTTGACCTTTCCCTTTTCTTTTTTTGTTGGATTTTACTTCTTAAAAACTAGGCAATATTGGAATGAATTTGGCTTTTAGTTAGTTATGAAATTTTTAACAAAACCATTACTTATTTTGTTCATATATAATGTGGTTATCATGTCATATTAAACATCTTCATGTTAATCTTATTGATGAAAATAATAATAAATTACCAGGTTTACTTTATTTGTTATTTATCTCATCAATTACTTCTTTCCTTACTCCGACATTCAAATATGAATACAATCACTTTGAAGAAGGTATACCTCGCTCTTATGTGGGATACAGGAATGTACATTCTGAGTTTGTATAATATAGCATTGTACTTACCTACCTTCATGTTAATCTTATTGATGAAAATAATAATAAATTACCAAGTTTACTTTATTTGTTATTTATCTCATCAATTACTTCTTTCCTTACTCCGACATTCAAATATGAATACAATTTATGTGGGATATAGGAATGTACATTCTGAGTTTGTATAATATAGCATTATACTTACCTATTCTTTTATTTATTTACGCATTTTATGTTAAAAATCTACCCATTTATATCATTGACCTTCGCATTTTTTGTTATTACCACAATATTTTTATACAATTATGAAACAGATACTCAAATTAACCTTCGTGGACCGTGCTTAGCACGGGTCTTTAACATTCCTAGTATATATATATATATATATATATATATATATATATATATATATATATATATATATATATATATATATATGTTGGGTGGGGCCCGATTTGTTTACCGAGCGGGGCTCGATGTCGGGCGGAGCCCGATGACGGGCGGGGCCCATTATGTGTTATCATGTATGGTATGTGGTATTTTGGGGAACTCACTAAGCTTTGTGCTTACGGTTTTCTGTTTATGTTTAAGGTACTTTTGGTTCCAAGGGGAAGAGCTCGGGTTGACTGCATCGCACATACCACATGGATTCCGCTTTTTGAGATATCATTCTAATTGTTATGATGTTGAGATACTTATTTTCATTGGATTTGTATGGATAATGTTTTTGGAATACTGTTTTATTTAAATTTAAAATGAAATTTCATATTTTTGACTTAGAGTTCCAGGTGGGAGATATGGTTCTCCTGAAGGTGTCATCCAGTTCAAGAAGTGGGGCAAGCTAGGTCCCAGGTATATTGGTCCCTTCAGATTTTGGCCCGGGTGGGCCGGGGTTGCGTACCTTTTAGATCTTCTAGCTGAGCTCAGTCATATTCATAGCACGTTTCATGCCTCTAAGCTGCGGAAGTGCCTGGTAGATGATTCCGCAATGGTGCCATTGGAGGATATTCAGGTGGATGATCACCTGAATTATATTGAGAGACCGGTGGCGATTCTGGATCGAAAGACGAAAACCTTGAGTAACAAGGTAGTTGAGTTGGTGAAGGTGCAATGGCAGCACCACAAGGGTTCAGAGTGGACTTGGGAGCCCGAAAATGAGATAAGGGAGCATTACCCGGAGTTATTTGGAGCCGCGGACTTCGATGACGAAGTCTGATTCAAGTGGGGTAGAATTGTAACATTTGTACCCTGGTATCTACCTTATGACCCTTTATTTTTGGAAATATGCATTTTAGTCCCTAGAGTGGTATGCGGGGCGTGTCACTTGGTACGCTTAGCATACTAGCTGAAAAGCCAGTATGCGGGGCGTACCACTTGGTACGCTTAGCGTACTGAGTTGATGGTGAGTCGGGACCCCGGTCACGTATGCTGGGCATATGTATATGTACGATGGGCGTACGTGAACTTTAATGAAACCCTAATTAGGGGTTTTGCACCCTATATAAACATGCTTATTCATTAGGGTTGACCTCCTTACCAGCCTTTAAAGCCTCAAAACCATAGAAAAGAGTCTTAGCCTTCATTGTTGAGTGTTTAAGCCCTTGGAGAGAATTTGGTGTTCATTTTGTGCATTTTGAAAGAGTTGGAGAAGCTTGAAGTTGCTTAGCTTGGAGAGAAGGTCTTGGATCCAGAATCACCACCCCTTTTGCAAAGTTTTAGAGGTATCAAATTTCATCTTGCCTCCTAGTTGTTTAAATCTCTTTTTGGGATGAATTTTCATGCTTTAGGCCATTGTTGAGTGGATTGTTGTATTAAGACGTCCTAAGTACTTATCCTTTTAGATGTAGGTTTATTATGGCCCCCTTAAGCATATAGGTGCCAACTTTATGAAGTGTAGGGCCTCATTCATGCATTAAGTCACTTATTAAGTCCTTGTTGAGCTTAAGATTTTCATTTAGTCATGTTTGGATCTAAAGTTAGCAACTTTACATGGTAATCCAGCTCAAGGAAGTCAGATCTATATTCTGGAGTGAAGTCTTAATGGGTTAAGAGCTGAAATGAGAAGGTGGCTAAACTGGAAGAGTACGCTGCACGTACAAGCCTGTACACAGAGTGTACAAGCCCTTGAGCCAGTATGCTTAGCGCGTACTCAGTCAAGTGGCTATTTCGATTTTGGGCTTTGAGTTTGGGCCATTCTTTGGGCTTAGAAGGTTGGGGTTTAGTTGGGCCACCTGAATTTGGGAGTTTTCGTCCAGGAACATTATTAGACCTTGGGTTAAGGCCCATGAGAAGGGATTGGGCCCAATTGGAAAATTGGACCATAATTAGGCCTTGGTGGATCATTTGACTTTTGGGCCTTTTAGATTGTGAGATTGGGCCTTAGTCTTGGATCAATCTAGGTTAGGGGTAAAATGGTCTTTTTACCCCAAGTATGGATTTATGGTTATGGAATGGAACCCAAATGTTAATTGGATTTTAATTGATGTTGATATCTCGGAGATTTGTTGGACCAGCAGCCAGGGACTATCCGTTTGATTCAGCAGTGCGATGTGAGTTTCCTCACTGGGTTTAGCTGGTCGAAAGCACCAATGGCGGCCCATGATTATCCTATGTTAGTATGCTAGCTGTCTGTGTGACTCTTGCATGTGTTTTTGTGCTTATATGCTTACCGGGCAGGGCCCGGTGACCATTTTTGTATGCTATGTATCTTTGTGATTATTACATGTGTATGTGTCTATTTGATATATGTTATATGTATGCTGGGCGGGGCCCGATCTATTTACCGAGCGAGGCTCGATGTCGGGCGGGGCCCATTATGTGTTATCATGTATGGTTTGTGGTATTTTGGGGAACTCACTAAGCTTTGTGCTTAGGGTTTTCAGTTTATGTTTCAGGTACTTCTGGTTCCAAGGAGAAGAGCTCAGGTTGAATGCATCGCACACACCACATGCATTCTGCTTTTGTGATATCAGTCCGATTGTTATGATGTTGAGATACTTATTTTCATTGGAGTTGTATGGATA